AAATAAGCAGTCCAAAAATCATCACTGTCTACTAAAGAAGGTTGCAGACATTTAAAAGTAAGCATCATTGAGAAGTCAATGGGGAAAATGGCAGATGCTTTTATTAATTTCTAGAGTCTGCCTCTTCTGCAAATATCCCTTGACCAATCCATGGTATTAAAGAAAGCCTGTAAGAGCATCCATTTAACTCTTGATTTAAGGTCATGATAAATAGGGAAAACGCGCCATAATGAATTACAAAAAGAACCATTCCAAAGCACGTGGACATACAAAATATGGTAGCAAATAAGCATGTGCCCACACAATTGAGCAGGTAATAAAGAGAAAAATCCAGGTCATGCACCAAGCTGCCAACTCATACACAGAGACACACACATACATACGTGTATGCACATGTCCACACATGCAGATACACATGCACACCAAGATACATGTACACACAAATTTATATTCATACACATAATCTTGCATACAGACACACATACCACATACACACACATGCACATACACATGCATGCACACACACATGCTTGAGATGAAAAATCAAGAAAATTCCTACACATACTTTTTATTATTGCCTGACTGCTGCTGCCAATGAAAACTTTTCAATGGAATTTGTCCTCACCAGCATAGATGATGGATTCAAAGAAGTTAGAAGACAGGGAAACCCATACAGTGGAGTGGAAAACCCTGGCACTGGGATTCATAAGAGCGGGGTCCTAATCCTCGTTTCCAAGCAGAGAGGTTTATGTATCAGACACTGAATTTAAGCCAGGTCAAAATTGGGAAGACTTTTGTGGATACTGCCTTCCAATGCTGTACTTGGACCCCTTAGTTTTTGAAATGGAATATGAAATAGGCTGTTTGGGGAAATGGAAGTACCTTGGTCCTATTGTCATGCCAGGATTCCTGCCTGTATCATGGAAATACTTGAGTTTGTGATACCTGATTTACATTATCTGTCTAAATTTCTTAAGTGTAAAATATTGTGAGTGGGCACTCAGAGAATTCTTAAAGTGATGTTTTGGCTCCAGAATTGTTTAGAAATACATACAAAACACGGTCATTTTGACATATTCTGGGAAAGAAAAGTAATACAATTTCAGTGCAATATTCCTGTCTCGGGCTCAATCAGGAAAATACAAATGCTATAAAAGTAAACTTCTGCATCCTCCAATTCTTCAATTTTGTGATGAATCCATTTTGTAAAGCGGCAAAAAAATACGTTTGAAATGAAAATGACAAGCTAATAAACATCCCCATTGTGACTGCAAAAACAAAACATCAAAAGTGGTGTCATCATTGTAAATCAATAAATATTGGATATTAAATGAAACATTAGCATCAACTGTAAAATGGAAGAATATATAAAAATCCAAACACAGATATCCTTGGGAATGAGCATGGTCACTGTTCTGGGAGCCTCTGCCAACAATAGGGAAAACATTTTCTTCTCTCTGTCTCAACACCTCTCTTTATAAAGTGAGAAATTTGGTGAGATGATTGTTAATTCTGGCTCTACCCATTTATAAAAGACTACAGACGGAGGCAATTTCCTCCAGCCTGTATATTGTTAATCCTGCTTGACGGAATTCGTCTGAATGCAATCCATGCTTGATTTTCATTCATAAGGATCTCCATGGTCTATGCAGACTCTAATTGGAAAATTAGTATTGTTTCAAAAGCACTGGCTTAGTCTCAAAATGAGATGCCCTCAGTATGACATGCATATCTAATTTTTTCCACGGTTGCATAAAGTAAGAAAGAAAAGCATTCTCAACCACTCCTGACAGCTTTTATGATGAGCTATTCAACAAATGTTTTCTGTCCACTTGTCCGAGAAAGCTGATTAGACAAAACAGCCGGTGGAGGCACAAAGAAGAACATTCATTATTTTTCAAGGAAATATAAAAGATATTTCAAATGAATGAATAGCTGACACAAAAATGACTCTTTGAAGAATTGTATACACATTTTTTGTTGTTGTTACAAAAATGTCAGCAGTGTGGCATACTACACAGTTAGAGGCTGAATTTCCATTACATTACAGGGATACATGGGATTCTTTAGCTTTAAATTAAATTGAACTAATATAGGTTTCTATTAAATATAAAATTCTTTTCTGTGCACTTATTAAAGAATGACTCTAGTGATGATTTCTTATCAAATTAGAGGATCTGGAATGCCCAGAGTTCTGACTAGCCTCCATTTACAAAAAAAATCTTGAGCCTTTGGTTCTGTTACTTGTTCTTATGATCAACTTCCCTTTAAATGGAATGAAGAAATATGGGTGGATAACATACAGAAAAGAAATTTAGCTGTCTGCTCCCTACCCTCCGACACACAAAAGAAAGAAGATCTGTGCTTATCACAGAATCTTACATCCCCATCTGTGCTTTTATCTCCTGCAAAATTCCCTCATTCCAGTCAAGCACGATTCTTACTTTAGCTAAACATTTCCAATGCCTTTTTATTTTTCTTTTCCCTGCCACACTCCAAGCTGTTTTTCATGCCTTTTTTCTGTCTGACAGTGTGTCTGAGAGACCCAATCTTTGGGCACATAAGGCTTGAGTGGGGAGGAAGCAAAATAGTCAAGGAAAAAAAGGAGGAGGTGGGCTTTGCTCTCTGCATCACTCTTCAGCCATGACTGCTCCAGCATGAAGGTCTCCTGCAAACTTAAGAGAGGCAAGGAAACTCACCTTGACCACCTATTTCTGGCCTAGACATTCCTATGCAGTTCCCTGTAGGATCTCAACATTATGAGGGTCACCAGGGAAAGCTCTGGGTGAGATTATGGAATTGATCTCCAGAATGATCAACATCCTGGCTGTGTTTCATGGGTTGATGGTGTTTTCTTTAGATCAGATTTGTTTTCCCTAGACTAGAATGGAAGAAGGTGTCTAGAGTCAGACTACTTGGATTTAAACCTGAGCTTTGTCACTAAATAGCTATGTAAATTTAAACCAGTATGTGACCTTCTCTGTGCCTCAGTCTTCATCTGTAGAATGGGAATGATTAGTCTTTAATTCATAGTTATTAAATTTGTGACTCATTGCAGTTTTTCAATGCATATTAATTCTTGCCCTTATTATTCCATATACCAAGAGTGTTTTTAAACAGGGGTAGCTGAATTTACCTACAATGTTGGAGGTACGAGAACCAGTTGGAACATCAGTATGAGAATACTATTGTGTGTGTGTGTGCGTGTGTGTGTGTGTGTGTGTGTGTGTATGTAGGAGACACACCCAGACATGCATACACATCAAATGTTCTCAATACGAAAATGATAAAAAACAAGAACTAACTGCTTGGTTTTTAAGGGGAGATTCCAATTATTTTCTTAAAATACATTACCATGTAAGTTTCATCTAAAAGAGAAAAGTAAAGGAGAAAGTGCAGTGGGCTTTGCTAAGGGGAGGCAGTTCTAACATCCCTCTCTAACCAGAAAACCATGTTTCCCTAAGACCATCTTCTCTCAGGACTTAGTTTCTTCATGTGTCTGTAATGTGATTTATTTTGGAATGAGTTAAGGTATAATTAATATCTCATATATTTTAATATTTCCAAAAATGGTGGCTAGAAATTATCTGGATCAATCTCAACACTAATTAAAAAGTTGAGATTGATCCAGATAATCTCTAGCCACCATTTTTACTCACTTTTCTTCACTTGATGCTATAATTCTACCCAGAAAAAAAAATAACTAGCATATTCCTATATAAATATCCCTGCATATTCATGCATAAAACCATTCCATATATATTATTTCATTTGCTTCTTATAATGAATACAAGGGCTAAATTCTTTTATTAAAACAGCAGAATAATAAGTACATAGTGGGTCTGCCATAGATATTAGTTGAATTTAATTACCTCATATTGTAAACTCTTTCCCTTCTAAATAAATTGTAAGAAATGGAAAAATCCATTGCTCATTCTCAATGAAGGAAACAGACTCAGAAATTAAATGACTTGCTACGGTTCACTCAGACTATTTGGGTTGCTGGCTGTGTAGTGTTGGCCAGGAAACAAGGAAAAAGTGACCTGAAGAAGATATCTGGTCAGAAAGCATCACATGCTCACACTGGTTGTTATGAATACATATTGTTCTCCTCCTCCCCATCCTGTCTTCTACTGCCAGGTAAATTTCCTAAAGCACCTGAAAAACAAAGCCTTCAGGACTAGCATCACTTAGAGTATAAAATCAGAATATCTTAACCCACATCCCTTTCTGATCCTGCCCCATAGATCTTTCCAGCCTCTTAGACTCTCTCTCCCTCTAAGTCCTGCTGAGCCTATATCACAAAGGTCTTATAAGCTGCTTCAAGCCTCCATACCTCTTTCTTCTATCCTATCATTTTCTCTGCTTTTACCAGTATGGTGGACACAGGCTCTCTCTTTTTGTCTCTGTCTACCTGTCGGTTCAGTGGTGTCTTCTTCCCTGGAGGGTTTAACTCATCTTTACCTCCAGGTCATCTTTTAAGCCTCTGAATGAGCATGTATCAACCATATTGTATTGCAATGAGTAGTATTTACAGGGTCCTAATCCCTTTTCCCACAGCTCACTACATTGTGAAGTGTTTTTGTTTGTCTGTTTGTTTGTTTCTGAGACAGAATCTCTATCATCCAAGCTAGAGTGTTTGGTGCAATTATGGTGCAGCCTTAAACTCCCGAGTTCAAGTGATCCTCCTGCCTTAGCCTCCTGAGTAACTACAGGCATGAGACACCATGCCCAGCTAATTATTTATTATTTATTTTATTTTTATTTTTACTTCTAAAAATATGTGCCCTTTTTATTTCATTTGTTTTAACTTTTATTTTTGGTTCAAGGGTACATGTGCAGGTTTGTTATATAGGTAAGCTCATACCATGGGGGCGTGTCATACAGATACTAAGCCTAGAACCCAGCAGATATTTTTTCTGTCCCCTCCCATCTCCTACTCTCCTCCCTCAAGTAGGTCCCAGTATCCGTTGTTTCCCTCTTTGTGTTTGTGTGTTCTCATCATTTAGCTCCAACTTACAAGTGAAAACATGGAGCAAACATGCATTAGTTTGCTAAGGATAATGACCTCCAGCTCCATCCATGCCCCTGCAAAGGTCATGATTTCATTCTTTTTTATGCAGCATTCCATGGTGTGTATGTACCACATATTCTACACTTGATCTTAGCCAAAAGGCCGAGAAGCGATGTGTACCACATTTTCTTTATCCAGTCTGCCATTGATTGGCATTTAGGTTGATTCCATGTCTTTATTGTTGTGAATGTTGCTGCAATGAATATATGTATGCATGTGTCTTTATGACAGAATAATTTACATTCCTTTGGGTACATATCCAGTAATGGGAATGCTGAGTGGAATGACAGTTATTTGTTTAGCTCTTTGAGGAATTGCCACGCTTTTTTCCACAATGGTTGAAATAATTCACACTAGCATCAACAGTGTCTAAATGTACCCTTTTCTCTGCAATCTTGCCAACATCTGTAATTTTTTAAAATTTTTTACAGATATGGGGTCTTGCTATGTCGCCAGGGCTGGTCTCAAATTCCTGGGCTCTCATGATCCTCTCACCTTGGCCAGCATCTGTAATTTTTTTTTAATTTTTTTACAGATACAGGGTCTCACTATGTCGCCAGGGCTGGTCTCAAATTCCTGGGCTCAGGTGATCCTCCCACCTTGGCCTACCAAAGTGCTGGGATTACAGGCATGAGCGATCATGCCCAGCCTATTGTGAGTTTCTTAAAAGAGCTTCTTTACACATTAGTTTTGATAAGCTTGGAACCTCACATAGAGTCTATCACTAAGTAGGTGGCTAATAAATATTTTCGGGGTTTATGAATAACTGGCTGAATAAGGGACTAGATGAATACATATAAATTTGTGTACTTGATTTGAATTGACTGCTAACTTGGGCTAATCTTACCACTTTAGTTTTCCTGGTTGAAAGGAAATTCTCTGAGACCAACTTGAAAAGGATATTAATATCAAATCTTTTAGAAACAGTCAAAGGCCTCGTGAACTTGGGGGCATTTTCTAACCATATGCTTTTCATCTCCTCGTTCAGCTGATATAGTATGGAAGTAATTGAATGGCCACTCTTTTCTGGGGTGTCAACATACATTTATCAAGATTTCTGGGCAGCTAGCTGCTCCTTTGAAATCTTAAAAGATGTGACTCTTGGCAACACTGTATAAACATTAAATTATTTTCCTGATTTTTTTGCTTAACAACTATCATTTGATTCATCTGCCAAGATAACTTCATTATGTCCTTGGAGCAATTCAATATGCCAGCAATTTGTGTCTCCATTTTTCAAATTCACCAAGCAAGATCTCAAATCTTAAAAGAAGCCAGCACAAACCTTTAAGGGGCAGAATTACAAGGCAGGGCAGAGGAAAAACATTGACTACTGTGGGTTCTCAGGTGCTATTTAAAAATAAGACATGATATTCTCATCAATTGTATAAACTTCTCTCTCTTGTTTTTTTTTTTTTTTTTTTTTTTCTTCTTTCTTAGATAAAATTTGGATTAATCTACTTTTTACACCAACTACATTTTTTAGATGTCGATTATAATTCTTATCTTGCCTTCTATGATAGTGGAATATACATGGCCCATCTTTGACCATAACCAACACAGCGTCCCAGCCACTTCCCACTTCAATTGCAAAGCATAGATTCTGAAAGGCAGGGCTGGCCAGAGAGAAATATCCTGGAATCTAATATGTTTAGGACTAGGAGAAAGGAGAGTAGCAGCCCAAATCAGTATTGTGAGACAAAACGAACTCTTAATCAGGTCAGGGCTGCTACAGCATTTCTTAGGAGATTGAGCTGCTGAGTACACATGGATAGAGGGATGGTCTAAAGAGAGATGGCTTCACAGGTGGGCGAATTGTGATTCCTGAGAGATGCATCTGAATTGGAGCAGCCTTGCAGCTGCTAGCCAAGAGTTTAAGAAAGTGTCTCCAGTGACTGTGGGAGAGAGGTGGAGCTTGGCTATGAAAATATTGGGTCAGAGCCCCAATAAAAGAACCACAACAGTGGGAAGAAGTTGTCAGTAAAAGTGACAGAAACAGGAGCCTATTTAGGAAGCCCAATCTGGCACATCAAAAGTGCAGATGCACTCTCAGAAGATTTATGTAGAATTTCTCCAGGCTGCCACAAGCAGGCCATGCAAGAATGTGTTTAGAGTATTGACCTCTGGTCACAGGAACTTGAGTTTAAAGTTGGCTCTTGACCTGCAATATGTGTGACTTTTGAAGTCATTTGGTCCTCTTACATGCTTCAAGTTTGTGTCATTTAGGATGCTTTCAGCAGTAACTAACAAACCCAAGCAAAAAAAAAAAATCTAATTCAGATTGACTAACAAATCAAAACAAACAAACAAAAAAAACCTGATTCAGATTGACATTTACAGAAAGCAAATGCATTGGCTCATCTAACTGGAAATCCTTCCTTGTTGTATCATGAAGGCAAAATGTCTATAGTAACTTCTGGCTTCATATCTGATCACTGTTAAATTGGGAAGAAATGAAAGATTTGCTTCCAAGTAAAGGAAAATCTTCTTTCCTGGGAGACTTCAAGCAAGCCTTCTGCCTGAATTGGGTCACATGCCTATTTCTCAACAAATTCTAGAACCAGGCAGTGCCCATGAACTGAACATTTTAGGCCTGAGTTCCTGAACAAATCATTGGGAAGGTATGGTGTTACTATTAAACTAATTAGGGCCTCCCTTACAGCTAAAAGCACCACTTTCCTGTTCTGTAGGTATTTGGTCTGTGTTGGGAAGAGGTGACTATCTGAACCAAATCAAGGTTCTGAGAGAAAGAAAAAATTAGGAACAGAACTCAGACAGGCAGCTGATATTAGCACCTGCAAAATTCCTCATTTATGAAAGGGAAATAATAATAATGCCCACCTTGGAAATTGTTGGGAGGAATAAGTGAGTTGGTTTATAAGAAGCACATAGCACAGTCCTTACCTGAATATACGTGGTGGTTTCTGTTATGATGACTATATTGTTTCCTCCACTTCCTCCTGTCTCCCCAGCTAAAAATGCCTGCTCCATCATTCTGTCCCCCCACTTGCTTTATCCCTGGTATTTGAGACACTGAGTCTCAGCCCACCATCTTTCCATCAAATCATGTATTTGGCTCTTTACATTAGGTTTGCTGCTTGCATTTACTCAAGAAACAGGCACAGTAGTATCATTCTATCATTCTTTAAAGATGAAGCCTCAGGTTTTATCAAAATCAACAAACACACAATTCTAGAAAGAAAGAGGAATACACCATTCAGTAAGACTAAGCCATGGACTTTACAAAGTTCATTTAGTTATTAATGTCCAGCAGTGAGTGGGACTAGCATGTGATTGGTGTTCAGTTAACTTATTGAATTAAGTTGATATCTACTGAGTGTAATGTGTGCACAAATAATCAATGTAAAGCAAGTTGTGATAGGTACAATACTAAAGATATGAATAAAGTGTTTTAGAAGTTGCTAAGAGTTGATGTAGAAATATTAATTTAAAGCTGTCTATGATTTGGAAAGGTTTCTTGTAGGAGTTGGAATTTGAGCAAGAAGGTGAAGAATTTTAGCACACTTTAGGCCAATGCATGTACATGCTCAATTTCCAACCACCAGATGTACTCTTGTATCCCATATGTCCATTCTACACATGAAATAATTTTAGACAGTTAAACTTTATCAATTGCTTATCTTGGAAAGCTTTTCGATTTTAGTTGGATGAAAATTGATGTTCAGGGAAGTTTTTGCTAAATATCACATATTCTGCTTATTAAGTAATAAGTTCTGAAACAGAATACCAGATGAAAGGCATTTGAGAATCAGGATCCAAAATTGCTTTCTACTGCATGTATATGTAATTTCTTGATGAGGCAAAGCAATGGTTTACAGAGTTTCCTGTGGTCTTCAGAATATGCTTTTTCAGGTCACACAACCCTGCTATTTATTATTTTATACTTAGTTTGCCCTCAGAAATGAAAAAGGCCTAAAGATAACCAGATGAATACTTGGAAGTTACAGAAAACCTGGCTTCATTTTTAAGCCAGAAATAACCTGTAGCACAAGTTAGAGTCAAAATAACAGAGTTTATAAGGGAAAAATCAGTCAAGTCCTGCAGTTTTAACTAAGTGACCATTGCTATGAAAACAACATTGCCACCAACTGGTATAATTTTTTTGTCATTCATTATCACGCCTAGCAGAAGACATATTGTGTGAATGTAGACAGCATAGGAAGGGATCCAACTGGCAATTGTTGTGTCTTAACATATTATGCATGGCAGTAAAAACCCAAAATGGATTTCAGTTCTCCAGACACTCAATCTTTGTAGTATATTTTAACAACAAAAGATAGAGCTTCTCGTTCCAAGCATACCAAGTATGTTTTCATAATTTTTGTCTCAGTGTGTAGTTCTCAATTTTTTAAAGAAAGTAGGTGGTAGAAAAAAACTCTAGCATAGACTTAATTTCCATAGTGTTTTGACAACATTTGTCAGAAGTATAATTACTATCACATGAGCTATTTAAAATATTATTCTTATTCTATCATAGACATGAAAGAATTTTTAAGCATAAAATAAGAAATATGGTTAAATTCAGAAAATTTATTCAGGAGTTAATCATTTTATTGAGATATAAAATTTGGTATTTTTCCTTTGAAATCTAATCATAATACTGTGTGAGTGATAAAGCCAAGCTGACATAGACTATACACAATTATTACATTAACAACACAGATGTCTATTTTTTATTGTATGAAAGGTAAATATGGTGTGTCATTAGAAGGAAAAGATTTGGAAGTTGAGTATCTGAGATGCCCCCTTTTTAAAACCTCTGTGGAGAATATAACAATGTTTTTGACTTTTTAAAATAGTTACCGTGGTAATCACTCTGTAAAATATGTAAATAGACATTGAGATTTACTAGAAAAGAAGGCCTAGAAAGCTTCCATGAATATCATCCTGAGGCTTCTATCTCTGACCTATCTGCAGAAGTATATACACACTTTCCTCCTCTTCCCCTTTCACCTGTGATACACATGTGCACATACATTATGTGTGTGCACAGACACACCACCTCTGGATTTGAATTCACAGTAACCTAAAGATCACAGGTGAAGAAACTTGTTATTTATTAACAAAGAAGCCAGTTGGAGAGACCTTGAGTT